TATTCGGTATTTTTGTGATTTAAGCGACATTTTTAACGGGAAATGTTTCAAATTTGGTATTTGATATTCGTAATGGATACTACAGCCTAAGAGAAGAAAGTTTTCTGTGCCGGTCTACGTCTTCGTATAGCCCCCATATAACGGTACCGCCGATATTCGGTATTTGGATGATTTTAGGGGCATTATTTACCGGAATTGTTTCCAATTTAGTATTTGAAGTTCATAATGGATACTACAGTCTGAGACAGAAAATTGTCTGTGCAGGTCCACGTCTTCATATAGCCCCCGATATTCGGTATTTTTGTGATTTAAGCGACATTTTTAACGGGAAATGTTTCAAATTTGGTATTTGATATTCGTAATGGATACTACAGCTTAAGAGAAGAAAGTTTTCTGTGCAGGTCTACGTCTTCGTATAGCCCCCATATAACGGTGCTTTCCGATATTCTGTATTTTGATCATTTTAGCGAGATTATTTACCGGAATTGTTTCAAATTTGGTTTTTTGAAGTTCGTTATTGATACTACAGCCTCAGACAGAAAATGAGCCATGTAGGTCCACGTCTTCGTATAGCCCCCATCAAACGGTACCCTCCGATATTCGGTATTTTGACGATTTTAGCGACAATATTTGCCGGAATTGTTTCAAATCTGGTATTTGAAGTTCGTAATGGATAATACAGCCTAAGACAGAAAATGTGGGTCCACGTCTTCGTATAGCCTCCATATAACGGTACCCCCGATATTCGGTATTTGGATGATTTTAGGGACATTATTTACTGGAATTGTTTCAAATTTTGGTATTTGAAAGTAATGGATACTACAGCCTAAGACAGAAAAGTCCATGTCTTCCTATAGCCCCTATATTGGGTATTTTGGTGATTTTTTTTTTAAGTTTCGCATTTGAATATTGTAATGGGTTATGACAAAAGTTGCCTATGCAGCTCCACGTCGTCGTATATACCCTATAATGACTTGATTTTTAAGACTTTAAAAGTATTTTTAATTAATTTTTTTAAAAATTGCCAAAATCTTCCTAAATGGTGGAGGGTATTCAAAGATCAGCCCGGCCGTACTTATAGCTTTTTTACTTGTTTAAAATTATTCATTTGACAATTAAAATTTGTCAATTCATTGAATACACAGAAATCAGAGATGGGAATCTGTTTTTTATTCAGCGAAATTAAATTACAGAAAAAAGCAGAGATGGATATTATTATTTGAAAAGACTTTACCTTCTAATTTTTTACCACGGACAAGACTTAAAAATGAATCTTTCGGCATTTTTAATTTATTGAATACCTCCCTCCTTTACTAGCGATTACTTGCCTTACTTGTCTCACTTTTAATTAACAGTTTTCGGGGTTTGCTGTGCAGGCATCCAATATTGGAAACAAAAAATTTGTATAACAAAAATAAAACAATAAATTTATACTATTTAGGAATTGCTTTAGTGTAAAATTAATAACTTTTAAAGTTTTCTGTTTTTTGTCATATCGTTACATATATTTATTTATCAATAATATTAATGTAATACATATGTTTGTATGTATTTTTGTTTTAATTTTATTTTTGCTAGGCAAAGTTGATGTAATTTAAGTTCCGTAATTTCTAAATTGTTATTGTATGTATATGTTTTGTAATATAATTGCAATTTTTGTTGTTGTGTTTTTCTTTCTCTGAGGTAGTTGTTTAATTTTTCACATTGTTTGCAGGTAGCAGTTATTGTGGCTGGTTGTAGGGTGGATTAATTACAAATTTTTGTATTAAATATATGTTCAATGATTGTTATTAGTTGTTTTTATTTAGTCGTTATAATTTTTCTGTTGTTGGTGTAAATATTTCTCAAAACACATGGAAGGCTTATTTGCTATACATATAAACAATAGTTTTGTTTTGAGTTTAGTTTTAATATTCTTTTCCCTTGCACCTCTCTTGATTGGGAACCAGTTTTAAACTTAAGAAAACACAAGAAAAAAACTCAAAAATTGTTTTTGTTTAAAAATATGTTTGTTATATTTATTTATTGGTTGTGTGTATACTAAAGGTGTTTATGTTTTTTTTATACATACTAAATAATAAAAAAAAATAATGAAATAAAATTAAAGAATTATGTAAATAATTTTGCTTACAATTTAATACGGTGTAAAAATATTATTTTGTGCTTTTTTCCATTTCTTTGTGAAAAAAAAAGGAAATCTAAACAATGAGTCAAAACAAGTAACAAAAATTATTTTATTTTTTTTTAAATAAAAAATATTTATAATCACAAACAAATTTAATAAAGAAAGTTTTACAAATAAGGCATATAAGACAATTGTGTTTGGCATTGAAAAAAATATAATTAAAATTAATTTGCATGCCGTATAAGTAGTGTCGTTAATCATACGGCACATTAAATGTTCTGAGTATTAGTGATGTCGTTACTCATACAACCCAGTGTACTCAGAATAACAGATGTGGACATAAATGTTATATAATATATGTTAATAACACATTTACAAGCAAAATCTCTACCTGTATTAACTTAACCTAACCAATTGACCAATCACCATAATTTTATTTTATATTTTCTATTGTCAAATTAATTGTGATTGGTCAATTATTAAGGTTAATATTGTTTTCTTTCCAAATTATAAAATTCCTATGTAAAGTTTCCTTATATGCCACTATTAATCACACTTTCTCTATTTGTCGCCAGAAAAGTTAAATAAAAAATATAAAACTAAATTAAATAAATTAAAATAAAAATGATATAGAAATTAAATAACTTAAAGAAAGGAGAAATATACTACGAGTACTAGAGTTTATATCGAGATTATTTGTATTATTTCTTTAACGTTTTCATTGTTGTTGTTGTGGTTTTATTGCAACGGCGGGCTTCATAGATTTTTTTTTGTACAAACAATTAAAATAATCTGATTTTAAATTTTATTTTAACCCCATTTCTTTCGTTGAAATTACAGTCATTACAGGTGAGGGGCATTGGGTTGATTTCGTAAAAAAATATTTATGTGGTTGTATTTGTTTTTATTTCCTGAGAGTTGCTATTTACTTATATGTGAGTGAGTTAATGTTTTTTTGAGGAGGCGGGGATACTGTAATTTCAAGATTTGATTGGTTTGGTTAAAGGTTACACAAAGAAATATATTCAAAGGCAGAAATATTTTCAAAGTTATTTTAAAAGTTCGTTTACACACACAAAATCTCTACCCGGGGGGTTAACCTTAATCATCAATCAATCACAAAAATCGGTCTTTATAAAACATACCATTAATTGATTGTTATTGGTCAATTATTGGTATTAATCGGATCAGAGATTTTGTATGCTAATGCCATGTTTACGTTAGAACTTTTTATAGGGTTAACCTACTTTGAGAGGATTTATTTGAAGTAAAAGTAATGGATATGACAATTTAAATCCAAATCCAGTGGGTTAACCCTCATATATATAAACGTACTATAACACACTATAATTTTTCTATTCATCGACAGAAATCCCCTTACAGTGGGTCTATGTAAGGTTTTGTAATGGCATTTTTACATAAAAAACCTTACCTGGGTTATCCCCGATAATTGACCAATCACAATAAATATAACATATGTTCTCCATGGTAATATTTATTGTGTTTGGTCAATTGTGAGGGTTACCCTGGGTAAAGATTTTGTATGTAAACGTACTTTAGGCATATTATTCACAATTCTTACTTTTTTCATTTGAAATTCGAAATATGACATTTGTAAGGCGAATTATTTTATTTGTAGTTCGAACAAGCATATCATAGGTTTTTTGAGTTTCAAGTACAATAATTCTAATTACAATTTAAATAATTCGGATATCAAATGGAATAACTCCAATTAAAAAAAAGCTGCATGCTAGGCCGGGTCGAATTCGGAACGAATTTGGAAATTGGAAACAATTCCGGTGAATAATGTCGTTAAAATCATTAAAATACGGAATATATGGAGTTACCGTTACATGGGGGCTATACGATATCGTGGACCTATCTAGAAAATACTCTTCTAGGGAGTAAAGTACTCTGAAGGAACTCCCTGTGTGGATTTTCAGACAATTCCATTGAAAAAGACTTAGACCTGAATTCGCCTCCTGTATAACCGCATTAAGTTTGCTCTTCTTCATTTTTTATGGACTCCGAGCAGAAAAACGCTAACGCTGAGAATACATAAAACGCTTTTTTGACTGGCTTAAGTCATCGGCTGGCCTCTTCGTAGAGGAAGAAAGGAGTTTTAGGTTGACTTAGTTCGATTTTGGCCCTATGCTCCTTTGTTCTTTTCCGAAGGAGCCACCCGATGACTTAAGCCAGTCAAAAATGCGTTTTATGTATTCTCACCTTAAAGGTAGCAGCTTGAAGTTTTCGCATGACACATCATAAAGCAAAGTCAGAGCCGTACTCGGATCCTGGGTACATAAGCAGCTTGAAGTCTTCGCATGGCATATTTTGTGACATATCATAAAGAAAAATCAGAGCCGTACTAAAATGCCTAGCCGTGATGCCAAGCTGCTTATGTAGCCACATCTAGAGACTGAAATTGCCTCCTGCGCGACCTTATTAAATGGGACTTGGTTCGAACACAATTTTTAATTTTTTACAATTTTAAATAGCATTTTAAATAAAAATTGATATAATGCAGAATTTTCCATAATGTAAACGCTGCATTACGACTGCACACAGTTTGCTGAACAAGCGATTATATATTGAAGCATAATTCTAGGCGCATACAATAATAGAAGTAAAGACAAAGATTTGTTTTTCGCCTTATACAAAATACCTACTTCGTTTGAGGCCGGAAATGACATCGATAGCCTAAATTTCATATTTAGATTGACGCACACATATTCCCGGATTGAATCAGCCCAATAATCTGTCTGTCGAGGACAACGAGGACGTACTAAATTAACAATTATTTTTCATTTTTTTAAAGATGAGAATGCATGGATGGTTTTTTTTAGACATAAGTCATTGGCAGGCTTATTCGCAACAAAAAAAGGGTTACGAAGAAACCAGCCTATGACCTATGCTTGAAAAAATTCTCCTTAAGATGCAGATACATAGAAGGTTTTTTTACTGACTTTAGCTTTTGGCTTATTTTTTCGTAAAAGAGTAAAGGAGTTTTAGGTTGACTTAGTTCCATAATTTATACTTGTTCACCCTACGCTCCTTTCTTTCTTTTACAAAAAAACCAGCCGATTACTTAAGTCAGTGAAAAATGCGTTTTATGTGTTCTCACCTTTATGTATTCTCATCTTTTGAAGGTCGCACTTATTCAAAAACATTAGGTCTATCTGGTTATCCAAAAATGTATAACAATTATTGCAAATTGTTACTTGAAGTCGTCTGTTAAAAAAAACGTTCTACAAAAGAAAGCGATTCGAAAGAGAGAGACATTTTGAAAGGGTTTTTTTTCACTGAGATATTGCTATACGGTTAACAGTTGTCGGTTAACATTTTACTTTTTTTACAAAAGGGAATAAAACTTCCTTTCTCTTTCAGAAAGAAGATGCTGGATAATTCTTGCAGAAAAAGTAGTCAGATAGACCTATTGAAAGTTGTGACCATTAATCCTATCACTTTCTTTTACATCAGTAACAAATTCAAACTTTTCCAATGCTGAAATCTTTACATAATTCTCAAATTTAAACAATATATTATTACCCCTGACCTTCAAGTAATTTGTGTAACCTTTAACCTTTTCCTTCTTTTCACATTGTTTTTTCTTTTTTTTTTTGGTTCTCGACTTATGGACAAACGCTAATTTCCATGAATTATTTACCTTCCCCTTGCTTGCTCTTTCTACCTTTCCTTTCGTTCAACATGTGTTGGCATAGTGCAACATTTTACACCGTTTTCTGTGTACCATCCTAATTCTTTGCTTTGTTTCGCTTATCTTCTCTTCAATAGAACGAAGTGCACCAGGCATCTCCGGCCGTTGGACTTAGTATCCCGACCAAATTATTGTTGTTTGTGTGATGTGAGGGCATTACCGGTGGTGTAATTGTCGGCGCTGCCGTTGGCAAACATTGGAAACAGTAATTCGCACCATAATTATTATCCCAATACTGTTGACCCTTACACTGGAACCGCACGGCGAATTCCAAACGTTGTCCCACATGCAACGAATTGCCGAAGAGCACAAACGAAAACTTGTCCGAAAAGCCATCGCAGGTGTTCTCTACATAGTTTGCCTGTAGATCAGCATAGCTACGCCAACTATCCAGGGTATAGCGTATGTGCACAGATTTATGAAAGTCCAAATTGCGGACGCGCACACTGCCCGTAATGGTGTGATTGATGTTGTCGGTGACGGCGGCATTCTCCAGCGAGACCTGCTTGTCTTTGACAATGTCAAGGAAATTGGGTAGGCCGCCCGGCTGCTGGAACAGAGGCATCAGGATTTTGTCGGTTTTGGGGCCCAATTGAATGGGTGGCTCATTGTCGAGGATTTCCAAATCCTCAAAGGCGGACTTTGGTATGGTGGGTATTTCATTGAGGAACGTTTTAACATCGGCCAAATCAAGGCCCAAAACATCGGCAAAGCGTACAATCTTTTTGCGACCTGGTGTGCCGGGTGGAGTCTTGCCCGTTTTCAGAGATGAGCAACGTTTTACCCGCTGAGGTCGACTTTCATCCTCATCGTCTGTGGTGTCCAAATGTGAGGTATTCAAAAGTTGTTTCTTTACATCGTTGCTGTCTTTCGCTTCATTTGGTTTCTCGGAATTTTCCGCACATGCCACTACGCCGGTCTGCGTGTCTTCCTCTTTGGTTTCTTCTGGTGATTTTTGCAGTTCACAAACTTCGATTTTCAAAACCTCTTCGCCATTCTCGGCATGGCCATTAACAATGGTGTGTTCCACAGCAGTCTCTTCATTTTCGGGTTTCGTCTCAGTCGTTTCCGAAATCTCTGCCGAGGATTCGGTTGTGGCACTCTCTTCCCTTTCCTGCTGTGTAACATTCTGTGATTGTTGTTGTAGTTCTTTGAGGATTTCATCTTGCAGATGTTTGTCGCCGTTTTTGGGCTGATTTGCACTTTCAATGTCAGGACCTTCACTAGGCAGTGGCTTTTTCACATCCTTGTAGGTGGGCTGTGTTTTGTCGCCCTCATTATTGACCGTTGGAATTTTCAAGGGCTTGTTAAAGAGTACACAGGCATGACCATTACAAACCGGCAATGGTTGCTCATCTTCATTCACTTGCATGCCTCTGGGAAAGTCCACCTCATCGCAATCTTCCTTGTGGTGTGGCTGACAGAGATGCGACTTTTGCTGTTGACTTGGATCGCTCTCCGAATTGACATCAAAATAGGGACCATCTGAGGAACTGTGAGAACTGGCGGCAGAGGCACAGGCATATCCCGATTCTGCTGCCGAATTGTGGGGTGTATTTGAAGTAGATTCTATTAATCTTAAATATTCACATTCATCCACGGGACTGCCAGGACTTTCCAGTTCACAATCGAAATCAAAAAAGGAATCGGATTCATGCCGCAAGGGTTGTAGATCTGTCACAGTTTGGCCACCATCATGGCCGGAGACCCAAGTATTTTTGGGTTCTCCATTGACGACTATGGGTTGTTCATCACCAGAGTTTTCGCTATCGTCAGCCTGTCATAAAAAAGCGGGAGAAAAACAATTGTTATTATTTTTTTCGGGAGAATCATAAATCAATCATTCAGTTATACATCACCTGTGAGCCTAACGTGCGCAACTTTGATGATAAACGGCGTGCAAATGCCTCGGCCCGACCTCTACATGATGACATGCCTAGTGTGGGTATTATCGAAATGAGACTGCAATTATTGGCGTCGGGCGTTCCACTGTAGTGTTGTAAGGGCAAATCGCCTGGACCGTTCATTTACGTCAAACTTTTAGCGATTTCGTTTTGCCGAACTGCAAAAAAAAGAACAAAGATTTTTATTTTAGTATCTGTTGTTGTTGTGATGTTCTTCATTTTCTTCTTCTTCTTCGTAATTTTCATTTTCTGCTGTTTTTAAAAATATATTTTTGGGCAAATTTTTATGAAATCATTGAAATTGTTGACCGATTTTTTTTTTTATTTTCATTTCATTATATTTAGTATATGTTTGTATGTATGTACACACATATGCATATATTTGTGTATATTCACATATATTGAGTATATTAATGATGATCCATATGACATCTTTACAGTATAGCTAACAGCGATGGGAGATGGTGTGAGTAATGATAATTTTGTAAGATATTTTCAGTCTTCAATATTCTCAGAAATATTTGAAATCACAAAAAATTGTGAGCAAGGCCTATAGCAGTTGTGCGATTCTGCAAGATATTTTTTGAGTTACCGACAAAAATCGGTAAAATTAAAATGGGTATAATTCCGGTAACTAACGATTTTATTGGGAAGTTAGCGACCAAAATAAAGTTGTCACCAAATCCTACCGAGCGCAACAGTGATGTGAACTTTAATTTAGACTTTCCACTCATAATTTAGCGTTCTAATTTTACCGATATTTTTCGATAGCTGAAAAAATGGATTAGAGAATCTCACTACAGGTCGGATAAGGGATCGCTTTGGACAACAATTCGACAATGACAACATAATTAGTTGTCAGAAGGGCTTTAAGGGTAACCCTATATAGGCCACGTGGATAAACAACGATTTAGCTTGCTGTGAACCAGCTGGCATCCGAATAAATTAGGAAACATGAAGAATACTTTTAAATTACGTTTGGTCTTTCAGACTGTTCAATTACGAAGATGTGCCATAACACTTTTGCAAATCGTCTACCTACTTGAACAGCTACACACAAATAGTAATCTTAACAAAAAACAAGTTAAAAAGTATTAGTCGGTTTTGTCGACAGATTTATACCGGATGAGATAAAAAACTGCAAAAAAGTCAAACGCCATAATTTTACCTTTTTTTAAATTTTGTTGAATGAAAGCAAAAAATGTCGGAAATAGCATCAAATTTTAGAATAAGTTTAGATTTGTCCGAATTTTGGCACGAATTTTGGCCTTCAAACGGCCAATGAAACCGTCACACGCTGCCCGAATGTTGGCCTGCAGTATTTTGGCCCATTCCCGGCGAAGCGCTTGCTTGAGGTGATCGACACTTTGGTATTTTTTAGTACCAACCTTGCTTTCCAAAATACTCCAGACACAATAGTCTAACGGATTGGTATCCGGAGATTTTGGTGGCCATTGAGCGCCTGGAAATGAAGTGAGGAACATCATTTTGCAACTATTCTTGGGCGACGCGTGCTGAGTGGGATGGTGCTGAGTCCTGTTGGAATGTCCAAGTTCTGCGGCCAAAATGTTTGCGTGCCCAAGGCTTTAATACACCCTCCATAACATTTTCGCAATAATATTCGGCATTTATTCTAATGCCACGGTCGATTAATACGAGCGAAGAGCGCCAACCAAAGGTGCACATTTTCAGCTGACCTCTTTGGCAAGTAAACAGGATCATTTTGTTTGTTTACAAACTGCTGGACAACGAATGTTTTCTCATCGGAAACGGAGAAAACCAAATTCGACAGTTCGCCACTTTCGGCCAAGCGAAGCAAATCTTTAGCTCTTTTGAGTATATTTCCTGTCTGTTGCGGTGTAAGCTCTTTTTCGACCACTGCGACCCGGGTTTCGATGAAGTCGCTTCTTTACATTTCGAACCAAGGAAGATTTATTCACTTTTAAATGCTGGATTGCTCTAACGATAGCCACTTGCGGTTTTCCAGCCAAATATAAAGAAATCACACTATCACGAATAACTTTTTTTCTGGAAAATTCTCACCAAAATGCTTGTGTACGCGTGTAAACATTATAATGAGCTGTGGTTGCAGTTTTTTCATCTCACCCTGTATATATTGGATTTTCTTGAAAATATTGGTGTGACGGTTTCATTGGCCGTTTGAAGGCCATATTCGCAGCGTGTGACCAATTCGAACAAATATAAAGTTATTCTAAACTTTGATATTACGAATGTGAGGGACTTTAACTCCAAATTGGTTTAGACATATATGTGGGAGCTTTATCTGAACCAATTTTCACCAAATTTGAAGCACATGCTTCTAGGCTGAATACGGTCGGAAAGGCCATAATTCACTCCTTTTGGGCTGAAGTTAGCCATTAGGTGCACAACAAAAAAGAAATCGGATAAAGATATATATGGGAGCTATATCCAAATCTGAAAGGATTCTGAGCTTGTATCTGGTATCAAAAATCAATGGTGTGGAGTGCATATTACGTTTTCGAGGGACTTAAACCACAAATCGAATGAAACATATTTTGGGAGCTAAAGCTATTCTGAACCAATTTTCACCAAATTTGATGTACTTGCTTCTAGACTGAATTTGGTCGGAGGAGCCAAAATTCAGGTCATTTGTACCGATATTGTCTATTTGGTGTACTATTAACCTGAAATCGGTTGAAGATATATATGAGAGCTATGTCTAAACTTGAGCCGATTCACACCAATTTCAATAGGGTTCGTCCTTGGGCCAAAATTTCATCTCAATCGGATAATAAATGCCACCTGCATTTTGTTCACAAAAATACATGGACAGACAAACGGTCGGACTAACCGACATGCTTAAATCGACTCAAAATGTGATTCTATGAAGATCCTCAAAAGTAACAATGGATCTATTTCGCTTCCTTCTCCATGTTACAAACAAATGCACAAAGACATAATACCCTTACCACTATATGTGTTGTAGGGTATAACTATTTGGATACGAAACAAGTAAAAAAGCTGTAATGAATATCCTTCACCATTTGGTACAAATTTGACAATTTTCCAAAAAAACAAAATCCGTTAAAAATTATGTTAAAATCCTAAAAATACCGAATGTAGCCGTATATTAGGGTCTATACGACGACGTGGACATAGGCATAGGCAACTTTTGTCACAAGCTATTACAATATTCAAATGAGAAACTTTTAGCTAAAATCATCAAATTAGCGAATATAGGGAGGTACCATGGGGGTTATAAAACGTAGACCTGCACAGACAATTTTCTGGCATGGGCTGTAGTATCCATTACGAACTTCAAATACAAAATGTGAAATAATTCCGGTAAATAATGTCGCTAAAATCATCAAAATACCAAATATCGGGGGGTACCGTGGTATGGAGGCTATACGAAGACGTGGACCTGCACAGACAATTTTCTGTCATAGGCTGTAGTATTCATTACGAACTTCAAATATTAAATTTGAAATAGTTCCGGTAAATAATGTCGCTAAAATCATCAAAATACCGAATATCGACCTACACATGGCCGATTTTTTGTTTTATATTGCAGTATCTATTACGACGTCGCTACGCAGACGGACAGACGATAATAATAATGATAATAATAATAATAATAATAATAATAATAATAAAAATAATAATAATAATAATAATAATAATAATAATAATAATAATAATAATAATAATAATAATAATAATAATAATAATAATAATAATAATAATAATAATAATAATAATAATAATAATAATAATAATAATAATAATAATAATAATAATAATAATAATAATAATAATAATAATAAGAATTACAATAATAACTCCCTTTAAAAGGGAACTTAATGTCCGATTTTCCTAAATTTGTTGATCCGTTAGTTTGAAGAGAACCGGAAAATAATTTAACATTTTACGAGAGTTATTACTATTCAAAATGATGACCCTTCTTGGGAGAGATATTTTGAAGAGATATGCTGCCCTACATCTTATCACAGGTACTCCTTTGGAAAAGGAAGATCGATAAAATACATGGCGGGCCTAAGACCAATACGTCCAATGTATTGTATTGTGGGTATATGAATCTCAGCCGAAACATATACAAATTGTAATATATTTTTCTGGAAATTCCAGCAGTCTCCTCCCAAAATTCTGATGAAGTCTTCCAGTATCACGAAAATGCAACCGATAGCCTTAACTATGGAATTATGGGGGCGATATTGCCGTGTTGAAAATCACCGAAAACCGAATTCGAAGTAAGACTATGTATGCTGTGGTCACTCAGATCAGATGTAAGGCACAACGTATATTTTTTGAAATTTAAGGACGCAATCAACCCGCCCACAGCAATTAATTCAATTATTTAAATAAATGTACATTTACCTTATATTAATATAATAATGTCGGCCAGAATATATATTTTATTATAAATTAATTAGAATAAATGTCACAGGGAAAAAAATAACAACCTTAAGTTCTTGTGATCGTCGACCAACTAAATTAATTGATCTATCGAGAGGCAAAATATAGACCAAATATTTTCGAGAAAAAAAAATAAAAACAAACGTGTCTGAGAATAAAAAAGTGGGCAGGTCTTACAAAAGAAATCACGTGCCCCATTACTAGACTGTAGTCACACCCCTTTTATTTTGCTTTCAAAAATGTAAATAAGAAGATATCTAATATAGAATTACATTCTATAATACAAAACAAAAAAAAAATACATATATAAATTAAATACAAAATATCACAATTTCAAAATTAAAACGGCGATTATACCAATTGGAATGCATTCTCGAAGGAGAAAGAAAATCAAAAATAAAGATTTGAGTTTTCAACTCCTAGATTCCACTGCAGATTTATTTTTTTTTTTAATTTTAACAAAAACGAAGTGATTGTCTTAAAAATCTAACCACATGACTTTCTAGAACGGATGTTTATAAACGGCCACACATTGTATGCGACATTTCGGATTTCATCCCCACCCAGTATTTGCTAATTTATTGCCTGGCTATTCATTATTTCGTCTAAATTGCCAATATTATATAAAAAAAAAAAATAAAATAATCAAATAAAAATATTTCAAAATTTCAACAATGAAATCATTCATACAAACGGCAAATAGAAACAAAACTTCAAATGCATCAACGTCATGCTAAAA